ATAGATATCAATTTTCAACTTACTTGGTTCAGATGATGGGTGGCGATATGCCATGACTATTACAAATAAAAAATGATATAAATATGTTATATACAACTCCTGATGACAATAGTTTGGTCAACTTACAGGAAGATGGTCCAGTTACAGGTCCTGAAAAAAAATCAGTGGATTAATTTATTTTGCTATTGTTGTAATTTTTGGTCAAGGTTTTTGCAGATAGGAGTAATATTGGAAATGAAAATGAGGTGCATAAATATTAATATAGTTTCAATTATATATATGTTATATGTAATATGGATATGGCATATTGATATGACCAAAACTACAAAGAAAGAAAACTCATTACAACATGTAATATTGATATAATATTATACATACCAGGTCCTTCAGCTGCAATGGAAAAAAATGAAATTGTAATTTAGAATACGCAAATTCATTCATTTGCTCACTTATATTTCATGTACATAAATATTTTTCGCTTACCACCAGAAGGTGCTGGAGCATTGACAGCTGTAAATGGAAGAAATGTATTAAAGATATTGCTATTTGAAATGGGAAATAAAAATGAGAATGAAATGCATAAATATCAAATTTGCTATATCGTACTTACCAGGTCCTTGCGCTGAAACGGGAAAAAATGGAAGTGAAATTGAGAATAAGTGAATTCATGTATTTGCACATTTATTTCATTTACATAAATATGTTTCACTAACCACTGAATCTTGCTGGACAATTGTAAACTATAAGTGAAATAAATTTATTATAGATATTAGTATTTGAAATGTGAATAACTAACAATGAGAATGCAATGCATAAATATTTTCACTTACCAGGAAAAAATGTCTGTGGCCTGATTACTGTCAGTTAAATAAACGGTGTTATAATAAGAAATAAACAATGCAATACACGAATATTTCATTTGTAATACTTACCACTATTAACTGGAGCTGCAATGAAGAAAGATATAAAAGTGGATTTTAGAATATGTGAATTCATTCATTTGCGCATTTATCATATTTGTAATATCGTGTACTTACCAGGAGGTCCTTGATCTGCAACGGAGGGGAAAAAAGTGGAGTTAAGAATACGTGTATTGAATCATTTGCGCATGTATTACATTTGTAATATCGTGTACTTACATGTACCAGGTCTTTGAGCTGCAACGGAAAGAAAACAAAAGTGATTTAGAATACGTGAATTCATTCATTTGCGCATTTTTGTAATATCATACTAACCATAGCCTTGAGCTGAAACGGAAAGTGGACTTTAGAATACGTGTATTGATTCATTTGCGCATTTATCAAAATTGTAAGTAATGTTTACAACATGAGCGGCCGTGTTGTATGGGAAATTACAATCTCGAGCCGCAGGCGAGAGATTGTAATTCCCATACAACACGGACGCGAATGTTGTAAACGACTTATAAAACTCCAACACAAATTAACATGAATTACAGTGAGATAAATGACAAAAAATGGCAATTAAGGAAACTGCTGAGTTGAGTCGCTATTAAGCATGCGCAATTTACTGCAACACAGAACATTTTGAATAATTATCCATCCCACATGGAAAGCAAGCCATCTGTTGCATAAGCCAGTTCTGTTATCCGTCTTTGATTGCTTCAAAACCTAGTGAAGGTCTATGATGCGACACTAAAACTGAGACCTTTGCTAGTGTTGGGTTGTCTCAAGGTGACGACCGTGTTGTAAATCTTATACAACACTAGTGTTGTATCACAGTGTTGTATCTGATTTACAAGTTCAATCACCTGATGAAATGGACAACCCTTATTGGAGTAATAGCTCATGCATTATTAATAAGTTTTATAATATCGTATACTTACTAAAACGTGGACCTGCAAAGAAAAAAAATACAAGAAATATATAAAAGCGGACTTTAGAATACATTTATAGTCTATTTTAGAAAACTATAAAAGACACCATGTAAATTACTTTTTGAACTGCTTTATTTTGTTACCACCTAATTGATTCTCACTCACTGTATACTTACCAAAACGTGGACCTGCAAAGAAAAAGAAAAGAAAAATATAAAAGAGGACTTTGATACGTGAATTCATTCATTTTCGCATTTATTACAATTGTAATATCCTATACTTACCAGGTCCTTGAGCTGCAACGGGGAAAATAAAATACAAAGATACTTACAAAAACGCGGATCTACAAAGAAAACAAAAAATACAATGAATATATGAAAGTGGATTTTAGAAAACGTGAATTAATTCATTTGCGCAAAAATTAGATTTGTAATATCGCATACGTACCAAAACCTGGAGCTGCAATGAAAAAAATACAAAAAATATTTAAATTGAAGTTAGAATACTTGAGTTCATTCATTTTCTTATTAAGTTTGAAATATCATACTCACCATAGCTTCCGGCTGCAATGAAAAACATTTAAAAAAGGACTTTAGAATAAGTGAATTGCATGGTCATTTACAGAATTGAAAAATAAATTATGAGATTCAAAATATATATAACAAATACAATAAATGACAAGGTGGGATGGGACAGTTGAGATTCTAATACATGACGGTTGAAAGGGTTTCTTGTATGGTGCATGTTCTCCCCTAGGGACCGCATTTATTGTATTGTAAGTAATGTTTACAACATGAGCGGCCGTGTTGTATGGGAAATTACAATCTCGAGCCGCAGGCGAGAGATTGTAATTCCCATACAACACGGACGCGAATGTTGTAAACGACTTATAAAACTCCAACACAAATTAACATGAATTACAGTGAGATAAATGACAAAAAATGGCAATTAAGGAAACTGCTGAGTTGAGTCGCTATTAAGCATGCGCAATTTACTGCAACACAGAACATTTTGAATAATTATCCATCCCACATGGAAAGCAAGCCATCTGTTGCATAAGCCAGTTCTGTTATCCGTCTTTGATTGCTTCAAAACCTAGTGAAGGTCTATGATGCGACACTAAAACTGAGACCTTTGCTAGTGTTGGGTTGTCTCAAGGTGACGACCGTGTTGTAAATCTTATACAACACTAGTGTTGTATCACAGTGTTGTATCTGATTTACAAG